AAAAAAAAAAAAAAAAAAAAAAAAAGAAAGAAGTTAGCCGGGGTGAAGAGAAAGGAGGCGAGGTAGGGAAAAAGGAAGGAGAAGGGTGGTGAGAAAGAAGAAGCTGGCAGCCATAGCCGACCGGACGCTGATCGGGAGAGTTGACCGGGCGTTGACCAGGCGTTCACCAGGAGTTGACCGGGGGTTGACTGCAGCGTTGACCAAGCGTTGACCAAGGCGTTGACCAAGATCATTGACCACGACTTTGACCAAGCTGGAGCCGGTATAATCTCGCCAAGCCTTCAGCCTATCTCCTCGCCCTATGGATGTGCACACACCCTGTGATACTTGCTGAGTCAAGTCTGTCTGTCTCTTCTTCATGCATTGAATCTCTTCTATCCAGGTGTTAGGAACTCTGTGGATGAAGGATAGGGCCTTGTTGACCAAACCCGCACGGGCTGAGTAGGGCTAAAGACTGTGTCTGACGACTCGACTGTCCCGGAAAACACGAACCCTCCCAAGGACCGGTACTAACCGGCGGGCTGCTTGGTGTGGCACGGTAGGCCCAAAATCCGAGTTGTGGGCTGCACAACAGGCTGTCTACGTCTTGAGAAGACCTGCTGATCGCGGCGTCCTATCTGCGACGTTAAAGAATTCCTGAGGAGTTACGGGGGATCTCCTTAAGCGCCTCCTGATCAGCAACAACTCTTGTAGTGACAGCTTTAGAGTAGGTCTAGGTTAGAGACCCTAGTTGACAGGATCCTGTCCGGATTCTGTAAGTCCTTAGATTGAGTCAGTAGGTTTGTCAGTCAGGGGGAGTAAAGTCTAAGTGGTGAGGAGTGGAACCGCTGGTTGGTTGTGCACCTATCACCATGGTTGACACCCGTAGTGGGAAGAGTACTGCCCCCTCCGACGCCGAGCAGGCCCGGATCGCCGCCCTTTTGAGAGAGAAGAAAGAGAAGAAAGAACTCCTTAAACAGGCGAAATTGAAAGCAATCGCAGAGGAGCAGGCGACGAAGAAGAAGAAGATAGAGGAGGAGATGATGAGGCTGCAGAAGGAGAAGATGTTGAGGTTGCAGCAGGAGGAAGAAGAGAAGAGAAGGCTGCCGAGGAAGAAGCAGCAGCAGAAGAAGAGGAGGTAGAAGAAGAACCTCTTGAGAGGAGGCGTAGGGAAGAAAGAGGAGAGGCGAGTGGCACGAAGGGAGAGGACGTGTGGATGGAGAAGAAGATAACTAAGTGGGTGACTAATTTATCGTTAGGGGAGGATGAGGAGGCACAGTTGTACGTGCCGCTGGAGGAGAAAGAAGCGTTTGCTAGGGAGTTGGAGGCAATAGAAAATCCCCTAGAACGCCAGCCAACAGAGGACGAGAAGAAGTTGGAGTGGAAGTTGCGAATGATGAGGGAGAAGAAGAGGAGGAGAGAGGAGGCTAACGGGGTGGCAAAAGAAGTAGAGAGGGTTCAAGCCTAGAGGAGGTGCAGGCACAAGCTGAGGTCCCCGCCAAATTAGACAAGATTCTTGGGTACTTAGAGATTTTGTGCAAGGCCTGGGTAGAAGAACATCAGGCCGTCAAGGGTCCAGATGTGACCCTGCACGCCATCCGATCCGGGTTTAGGGAGTTCGCGCGCGACGTGGTGACCCACGTCGGGACCGAGGTCAAGAAGTTAAAGGAAGGCGCAGAGAAGTTCTGTGCTGGCGCCATTGAGGGCGCCAAAGTGGTGGCCACAGCAGAGGCCGCCACACGTCCCCGCAAAGAGCCGGTAAAGCTCAAGTTTCCTGATTCTTATAGCGGGAAGGAGGAGGAAAGCTTTGACAACTGGGAGGCCAATATCAATAGATATGTGTATCTGCAGCATATTGCCCACGAGGAACAGGTCCTCGTGGCCTTCCATGCATTAAAGGACGAAGCGGCTAGTTTTGCCAGGTCCCTTGCGCACGCAGTCGATTGTGAAAACAATATGGTTGCATATTCTAGACTCACCCCTTTCCACTTTTCTCAAACTCTTGCGTGAGAGGTTCGTTGACATCACGAGAGGCGTCAGGGCCTCTGACAAACTTGAAACCATCCACTCGCGACAGTGGAGGAATGCGCGAGCACTCAGAGCTGTCATGGACGACTTAGTAGCCGTCCCGAACCATGGGGTCATTGAGACCCAGTTGGTCCAGTTGTTTTATCGTGCCATGCCAAAGCCCTTGCGAGGGCACTTTTTTGACAAGACCCAGCAGCCCAATATCACGTATGACGCGTTGAGTAGGGAAGTGGTCTTGTTTGAGGCCAAGTCCATGCTAGTTTCCACTTTCTGGCACAAGGACATAGATAAGGGAAAGAAGTGGAAAGGCCGTACCATCTATGGCCAAGTTAGGGCCAAGGATCATTTGATCCTCACTTTAGACGAAGGTGGTACAGACGAGGTCCTTTACAGTCAGATTGAGTGGGGCCTCGAGGAGGAGGACAGTAGCGTAGGACAGGTGAGGTCCTATGCTGCTGTCACGGCTGGAGGGAGGCCGCAAGGTAGAGGAGGAGGCCAGGGCCAGAGGGGCCAGGCCATGGGAGGCTGAGGATCGGGCGCACTGGGGGTTGGCGGTCAAGGGAACCGCCAAGTGGGAGGTAGGGGTCAAGGTCCCCCGCCGAATCGTCAAGGTCCCAGTCGGTCCCCACAGCGATGAGTTGGAGGATCACCTCAAAGGAGAGGAGGTTGGCACTCGGGTTGGCCACAAGGCCGACCTTGGGAAGACTTGGGTCTGGATCAGAAAGTGTGGCAGCAGCGAATGGAGCAGGGGCAGTGCATTTACTGTGGTGACCCTGCCCATATCATAAAATATTGTCCTAAGTATAGACAGGCCCGTTGGGCTTCCCAGGAGTCAAAAGGCAGCCGCCGGTAGGGGTTGCAACTGCCCCTGCTATTAGGCCATGTGGGGAAGCGAGCGAGCGTGTACCGGAAACTCCCACACCATATGTGCCTTCGACAGAGGTTGCAGGCCCGTGCCTAGTTCGCTGTGCAGAGACTGCTTGTGTCAGCGTCTCTCTAGGCACTTCCCTCACAGGCGTGGCAGAAGAGTTGAAGGAGAGGATGCCAGCTTGGGCCAAAATGAAGAAAGACAAGGGCAGCTAGTGTTAGTTGATGTAGAGGTTTTTAGAAGTAGAGTAGGGGCCCTTATACATTCAGGGGCCACCCGCAGTTATATTAGCCGTAAAGCGCTGAAGAAGTTGAGGCTAGGATTGAAAGTCCAAAAGTTAGAAAACCCCATAGTTAGTGTCCTCGCAAACAACCGCACGATGCGTGTTGAGGACTACGTAGAGGGAGTCCAGGCGTATTTCCGCCTAGAGAAAGATGGGAAGGTGGAGAAAGTTCTCCATTCCCTGACTCTCCTCATACATGATGACCTTCCGTTTGACATAGTCCTAGGCATGGACTGGGGAGAGGCAGCAGGGGCCACACTCCACTTGAGAGAGCATGAGTGTAGGCTCCCTAGTCCGTCTGGCGAGGTTAAGACTGCCTGCCTATTCCATGTGTCAGGAGTAGATAACTCGCTGGCACATTGCTGTCTCAGTGCTCCCACGTTCGCGAGATTAGTGAGAAAGGAGCAATTAGAGGATCAGGTCTTCGTAGTATATGTCAGACCTGTCACTGAGCCTAAGGAGGGGGATAGGCCCATGGATCCAGCCATTGCCAAGCTGCTGGAAGAGTTCAAAGATTTGGTAGAGTCGTCGACAGGAGTAGTACCACGGCCAATCCAGCACAGGATAGAGATAGAGCCTGGCGGTAAGACTCCTAAGGGAGTCGTTTACAAGATGTCCCCTACGGAGTTAGAGGAGCTGCACAAGCTGTTGGACGAGCTCCTTGAAAAAGGTTGGATTAGGCCCAGTTCGTCTCCTTTTGGAGCACCAGTTTTATTTGTCCCCAAGAAGGAAGGAGATTTGCACATGTGTATAGACTATAGGGGTCTGAATGCTATTACAGTCAAGAATGTTGAACCACTGCCCAAGATAGACGATCTCTTAGATCCGGTGCAGGGTTGCAGATATTTCTCGAAGATTGATTTGAAGTTCGGATATCATCAGATAGAGGTTCATCCTAATGACCAGTACAAGAATGTGTTCCACACTAGATATGGGCACTATGAGTTCATAGTGATGCCCTTTGGACTGACCAATGCGCCAGCTACGTTTCAGCGTTGTATGAACGATCTGTTTAGGCCTTGGTTAGATAGATTCGTCGTAGTATATTTAGATGATATCTTAATATTCAGTAGGACCCTCCAAGAGCACCAGGGTCATTTGAGGCAGGTCTTGGAGAAACTGAGAGAGTCAAACTTCAAGATCAATGCGAAGAAGTGCGAGTGGGCCAAGACACAGGTTTTGTACTTGGGCCACGTGTTAGACGGAGATGGCATTCAACCTGAGGACAACAAAATAGCGGCAATTAGAGATTGGTCGACGCCCCGCACGTTGACAAAGTTGCGGTCGCTCCTAGGCCTAGCCAACTACTATTCTCGACTATCGCCGCTCCCCTTCACAGGTTGCTTAAGAAAGAAGCAATCTGGCAATGGGATAAGGACTGCACGTCTGCGCTAAAGAAATTAAAAGACGCGTTGATAGAGTACCCTGTCCTCAAAGTAGCAGATTCGTCTTTGCTATTTGTCGTCACCACGGACGCAAGTCAATATGGGATAGGCGCCGTGTTACAGCAGAACGACGACAATGGTTACCGACCCGTAGAGTTCATGTCAGCGAGGATGCCCTCTGAGAAGGTTGCTACCTCGACATATGAGAGAGAACTTTATGCTCTCAGGCAGGCCTTAGAGCACTGGAAGCATTACCTGCTTGGGAGGCACTTCAA